CGCCGGCGGCGCGCGGGGGTCGGCCCGGGGCTGCGCCGGGCGAGGGGCTGCGCCGGGCGAGGGGCCGCCGGGCCGGGGACTCGATCCCGACCGCCCGCGGACCCCGGCGAGGTCCTTCCCCGAAGTGGCCGGAGGCGGAAAGAGGGGCCGGGCAGCCGGAGAGCCGGTTGGGGCGACCTTTGCGCTTCCGCGCCGGCACCTGACTTTTCTAAAGAGTATTTTTGGCTTTACAAGAATTAAGTTTTTAAAAAAGAAAGAAAACCCCTGTCAGGAATCTGATCGATGGCCCGCGCTGGACGACGGCTGCTGAATGGGGGGACACACCGCCCGGACCCGGCTACTGAGCCCGGAGGCTGGCGGGGGTTGGGAGGCGCCGAGGTGACCCGGTGTCCTTGGGTGAAAGCGTCCCCGGGACAGGAAGAAATATGGTATGAAGCGGGGAGGCCTCATAAATCTGGTTTTAAAAGATCTAAAGTTAAAACTGTGTTTTAAGTCGGAAATTGTATTCTTTTTCTCTCTGAAGCGTCCCCGGAGCAGTCAGGAACTTGGTGAAATGACAATATAATGAACTCAAGTTTGCGGGGTAAAGGTGTACGGTGACGCGGCTCCTTGCCGGGGTCTCGCCGCTTCTCCGGAAGCAGCGCACTACTGGGTCCCCAAACACCCCTTCCCGTTTGGCAGCAAAGCCCCCGCCCCCTGCCCAATCGGCTGCTGGATTCTGGCAGGATTCGGATCGCGAATAGGGGTGCGGCGCGGCCCAAATAAATCAGCCCTGGGGACAGGCCGCGCCCCGGAGCCAGCCCCCTCGGAGAATGAGCAGGGCGGATAGCTCCGCAGGGCCCGCTCTTTGGGTCTAAATAACCCCGAGAGAAACGGTTTCGTTCAAGATGAGCAAATCCCGAAAGAGAAGACAGGCGCGGGGGAAAGGAAATTAAAAATAAACAAATAAATAAAGTTTAATTAAGGGGGGGGGGACAGGAAGAAAACAAGAACTTGTAAGAACCTGCCTGTCTACTTGGGGCATTGTGGGCCTTCTCCAGCTCTTGGGTGTCTCCTCAGTTCAGGGTGCGCCTCTTCACTCCGCACCCCCTATCCTGTCTGGCTCTCCAGACCAGCTGGGACGCACCGAGGAAGCTCAGCGCGCGGGGTCCGGGGCCCGTGGGGGGTGGCTTTCAAACCGTGCTCTTTCCCAAGGTATTGTTCCGAACAACAAACGCCACGCGATGGGAAAACGGCAAACTGGAGGGGGCAGGCAGCCTGGTTTTCTGTCTGAATTAATGCTACGGGTTAAACAGTTTTGTATTATTTTTAGATTAACTGACTTGAAAAACATTTCACTACCCTTTCCCTCGTTTGGTTGGAGAACTAGTCAAAAAAAAAAAAAATGACCCTGAAAAGGAGCAATATCTGTTTTCCCCCCCTTTTTTTTGGGCACTATCAAAAAGAGATTGGGAGTCTGAGGAATAAAATGCCAGGGCTCTTATCGAGCCCTTAGAGCCCGAACATTGTCGAATCGGTTAATGTCCGTCCTGCAGCTCACCTCTGTCCCAGCGGCCCGCGCCATCGCGCCCTTCCAACGTGGCTGCGGGGCTTCGGGAAAAGCAGTTCTCTGGAGGGTTAGTTATTGTCCAAGGAAATCCACACGGACACCCTTGTACTTGCAAATATAAGGAAACATATAGGACAGAAATTAGGCTCGCGCCGGGGCTCGATCTCCTTGGGACTCAGGCTTGGAGGCCGTTCACAGCCTTAAGGCAAACTTAGCCAAAACATTTATTTTTAGCAAATAAGATATGAACTTTAAAAAAATGCTTTTTAATAGCAAACGTAAAAAATATTATTTCAAAACAATTGGATCAAAGGAAATCAAATGTTTACAACATTTCCGTAACTGCTTACAAATGGTTTCTGCAAAACCCAGCCCACTTAAACATTTTGTCGGAAACTCACGAAAGAACCAAAAGCAAAGCATTCGAAGCCCTGGAGGGAGTTGAGTGGCCCGTGGACGCCGAGCAATCTCTTTTGGTAAGTTGCATTCGATCGAACTCAGGTTAAAATTTAAAGCCCCTGGATCCTGCTCCAGTCATCAATCTCTCCATTCCAGAGTTTTCTACTTTCAGCCTGTCCGAAATGCAGCCACGCTGAAACTGGGAGCCGCTGCAGTGATTGGGGGAGGCAAAGAGGAATGTAATAAAAGTGACTAAATTGGACGAGAACGGTTTATGGACCTTCTCAGTAGCAATTTAAAATTCAGAAGTGTTAAGCAGCAATTTACAACGAAGAATGAAAAAAGAAGAATTCTCGCCAACTTCCTGGATTCCGCGCCCCCTCCCCCGCACTGCCAAGCCCTGTCCCCTTCTCCCCCCAGGATCCACACGTTCACAACTCTCAGTTTTGTTGAGAGGAAACACACAGTCTCACGATGGTCTCACAGTCTCTCGAAACCATATTTTACAATGCACCTACCTATCCCTGTTCAGTTCTGCCTAGGCTCTTCTCCCTTCCCCAACTGGAAAAACACAAAAATAAAAATAAAATAAATAAAAAAAAACTAGAGCCCAAACGCTTTCAAGGAGACTGACCTTTAGAAAATCATTTACTTCGATTTACCTGGGAGGTAAAAAGTGTATACACTCCCACAAAACTCCTCCTGCTCCAGTTAAATTCTCTCTCGGCAGCCTTCTGGGGCCACGTCTGTCGGAAGAAATCCCTTTTGTGAGTGAAAGGGAGCGAGACATACATCACGGCTCCTGCAGCGGACGAGCCTGCGGCCGCGGGACTCACTGCTGACAGATCGGCTCGGATAACCCCGCGACGTTCATTTCCAGTCCCTTTGCCCACTAAAGACCGTCTCAGTTTGTACACAGTTGTGATAACCGTTTGGAGGGAGCGAAGAAGGGGTGTGTATGTGTGAGTGGGGGTGGGGAAGCGGTATTTCGCGCCGGATCCAGGGAAGGTGACCGGCCCCCCTGAACCCCTTCCAAAGACTTATCTGTGACTTACCTGAAGTTCTCTAGGGAAAGCAAACGGGACATCAAAACTCGGAGAGCGTCCCCGGACCGACTGATGTGGAAGCCCTTTTCCTTCCCGGGCACTTCATAGACTAACCTTTCGTATGCGACGACCCGAATTAACTATTCCCAAAGGTCAGCTGGGGAATGTCGTCGTGAACTTCCCCAGACTACCCAGGAATTTAGTATACATTTTAAGAGCAGGGCAGAGCTAGGGTGCTGGGCACCTGGCTTGCTTCTTTCCCAGATTGTGGGAGCCCTATCCCCGACAGCCACTACGACCTGAGCTCTAGCATCCCGAGATAGGGTCGCGGAAAGCTTAACTTTGGTCACACACAACTGCGGAGCAAAAAGCTCAATTCACGTGGAGAGAGGAGAGGAGAGGGCCAGCGGGGCGAATCACTTTCCCCCCTCATTTAGGGGGCGCGCTGACCCTGGAGCTGGCGCGCCATTCCCGCCGCGGCGGCGGCGCGGGGCTGTGCACAGCTGACTCGTCCCGTGTCGGGGCTCCTTCCTCCACCCCGTGGGACTGTGTGTGTAACTGGGGCCCGGGAAGGTGCTCCGCGGCTGGGTGGGTGTGGGTCGCCAACCAGGTCGGGCGTCCTGTCGCCTCCGCCCCTCCTCCGGCGTCCCTGGGCTCTGCGCCCCCTCCCCGTGGACGGCGCTGTCCGCTCAGCTCACGCCCGCAGGCTGCGCGGCGCTCATTGTCTGCCAGGGCGGCGCGCTCCCCTCCCCCTCGCCGTCCCCTCCCCACCCTCTTTTCTCTCCTCCCCTCGATCCCTCCTCCTCCTCCTCCTCTTCACCTCCAGCGCCCAGCTGCTCGCAGAGCGCAGTTCCGACCCACAGCCTGGCACCCTTCGGCGAGCGCTGTTTGTTTAGGGCTCGGTGAGTCCAATCAGGAGCGCAGGCTGCAGTTTTCCGGCGGAGCGGTAAGAGGCGCCTCCTCTCTCCTTTTTATTCACCGGCAGCGCCGCGCAGATCCAGGACTCGCGCTCGCCCGCCGGCGCCCTCGGCCTCTCTCCGCGCCCGGGAGCACCCTCCGCCGTCGCCGTTCTCCATGCGCAGCGCCCGTCCGAGGTTCGGCTGCTTCCTCCCTCGCTCGCTCTCCTGGCTCTCCTCACCTTCGCCCCTACCGGTCGCGGGCCCCTCGGCCTCCGACTCTCCGGCCCTCTCCGGGCCGCGGCTGGCTCCGTGGGTGTCTCCCTCCTTCCCTCCGGGCGGGCTGTAGCGGCTCCCAGGTTCCCGGGACACCGCGGACCGACTACTGGTGTCTTTTCCTCTCCTCGAAGGGCTTATCTGCGCTCAGCTTTATCTCCGAGTTATCTCGGCGCAAAGGGGCGGGAGCCGGTAGTCAGGGAAACTTCTTTCTTGCTATCTAGCGCGGGTCTGCGTGTGGGCATTAATTTGAGTGGGGTAATCTGCGATGAGCCGACGTGATTTGGAAGCAGCCCGGAGGAGGCCGGACCGGCTGCATTTCGCCTCCTTTCCCACCCCCTCCGAGTCTCCCTGTCATTCTTCCTGCTCTCCCCTTTGGGGTGGCCTCGGCTCCGGGGCGGTCTCACGCCCCCCCTTACATCTCCCCCCTCCTTTTCTCTGCGCTCTGCTCCACCCCGCTACGTCCGATTCCGGAACGGCTTGGCCTTTCTGCGGCTGGGGATGACCGCGGGGTGGCCCGGCCCGCGTGAGCGCGCGCGCGCTGGTGGCTGCAGACGCGGGCCGTGTCTAAGGTGTGCGGTGCCGCGGGGACTCCGGTGGGTCGTGAGACTCCCGCCCCGCGAGCTGCCCTCCCTGCCTCTGCCCGGAAGGTCCGGGACTGCTGTGTCCACTCTAGCTCCCCACTTTCCCTGGGCTGAGTTGCATTTCTCTGTGGGGCTCGCATTCCGTCTGGATAGCGCGGTCCGGGAAGTTAGGGACAGGCAATGTGAACGCGGCGGTTTCGTTTTCGGGGACAGGTTGCCTTCCGGGAGCTAACGATTTTGACGTGGGGAACCCTCACGGAGGCGTTCCGGGAGAGGGGCACCCGAGGGGGGCGGGATGCGGCAGCGCCAGCACGCACAGCTACTTAAATTCTTTTGTGTGTCATTGGCCTGGAGGGAGCCACTTTGGGGCGGAAGGAAAACCTCGGCCAGCTCCGCCGTCACTCCTGGGATCTGGCGCGCGCGCAGAGGAAGGATGCTGCCGGAGGGGTGGGCGGGGAGGGCGCGGGGCTCGAGGGCTGTGGGTGGGGAAGGGAGGGTATCTCAGTCCTTCCAGGACGGTGGCGGCTGCGCAGGCTCTGTTCCCCACTCCCTTCCCAATCCCCGGCGCCCTAGGCAGAAACAGGCTCTTTGAGAAGTCTCCTGAGCTAGAAAAGGGAGTGGAGGTGAGGTGGCGTACGCCTTCGCCTTCGGTAACGCCTCTGTTTCTCCTCCCGTCCGTGCCCCCCCCCCCACTCTGCCTCAGGAACTACTAGAAGTCAGCTTGGAGCGGCGCCCTACGGTGCATGGCCTTGACTGACG